ATTTATTTTGTAATAGTATGCTTTGGTATTTGTTTCGTGATACTATAATGGTATTCATCTCTTCACGAGACCTTTTCACTTGCATGATCCATTTTCAATGTTGATGAGTTCAGTCAAGTAAATAAAGGTTTAGAAACTCTAAAAAAAACATGTTTGGTTTGTTAGATTTTAAATGTAAGAAAAACATTTTTTAGGGTTTACAAATGTTAGATTTAGAGTTTAAAAATCTTAGTTAGTGGTATTTTTTAAAATAGACAATCTATAGTGATATTTTTTCAAATGGACACTAACAGTAGCATTTTTGCAATTATCTCAAGAATCATTATGTTAAGATGCAAAATTATGTTTTACAAAAATTAAGTGTTTAGTCTATTAAACCATTTTTCACTCTTTTTGTAAATCATATAAACAAACGCAAGTGATAGTTGAATTAAAAAAAAATTGTTTTTACTTTATTAATTATAAAAAAATATAAAATTGAGCGTAAAATATCCCACTGATTGGAAGAGGAAGCGCTTGATGAAAGCGCTTGATGAAAGCGTCTACTATAATTAAGCAAAGCTTTTGGGACCGTAGTCAATTTTTTAACTATAAAAGAAACGTAAGGGAAAGCTGATGCACATGGTGCGTACTCGAGGTTTGGAAGGCCACAAATGGACATGTGAGAATCTTCGTTCTCGAATTTCGTAAGCTTAATGAATGTTAATCCCATATATAGTCTCCCCATGTCTTGTTGTGCCTGCACAAGAGATTCAACATTAATGATTTGTTGCTCAAGATCATCATCCATTTCCTCCTTCGAGAGAAGAAACTTTTTATCTTCTTCCACAACAGGTTGGTGGTTTTGATCATCCCCAGTCATTACTTCCCCTGCGCCTGCAAAAGGTAGCTCGATGTAAGAGCTGTTGTTGTCGCCACTGTTTGGTTTAGAACAAAAATCGCTACACAGTGGTAGTCTGGAGTGGTTGCGGCGATGTGATAAGTCTCTTCAACGGAGAGTATCTTTCGGGTCAAGTTAAAAGTCTTTGGTTGGGTTTTGACCGACCCGGCCCATTTAGTCTTATTCTTAAAACGACATAACTACTCCGCATCCAAAACGGTCCAGTTCAAGGTTTCCCAAATTGCGGTTACCGGGTCCGACCCATTTGAAAGCCATTGATTCTGGTCACTGGGTTTCTCTCAAAATAGCAATCTTTACTTGTCTTAATTCTTCGTTCCAATGGCGAGACGCTTAAAAGCTCCGATTTTTGAGAGAGANAACAAAAAAAAAAAAAGTAAATAGAGAGTTTCGTGGTATCCATTAATGATGAAGCATCGGTTGGAAAATATCCCATCTTTGAAGCACATTTCGGGGACAGTAAATCAATGTCTCACGTTCGAAAATTTATGTCTCAACACTCAAATCACTAAGGGAATTGCCACTAATCAATCCCAATCAAACAAACACTACCAAAGCTGAAACTTGAGAGTGCAGTGATAAGTAGGGAATTAGTTAAGAATGAGACTACTAATTGGGGATTCCGAAATTTGTGTGTTTTCACTTCAAGTACCAATCAGCTTTACCTCAAAAGGGCAAACGCTCTACAACACTTTCCAGGAATAGATCAAATGAAAGACTGTTTTGGGATGTTCTACAGGAACCAAGCAGACCTGGACCAAAAAACTGTTTGCCCTGGAGGATTCAAAGTCAACCATGTCTTTGAGGCAGAAAAAATCAGTTGGTGTTCCATGCTGAGTGTTACGCCATTTAAAATCATCAGAAGAGGACGAATCAAGTGTCATGTCTTGAGGCAGCGCATTCTTGAGCAGAACCGTAATCGAGTGTCTCCCTCCAGGCAATAACCAACCTCCACTACCCATTGCTTGAGTAACAGTTGCTAACCGAGAAATGCCAGTTACTCAAGGACCATTTGAACCCATTAAGTCAATAAGTGGCCATAAATCCGTCCAATCATCATTCCAAAAACTTTCTTTACTACCAGAACCAACAACACAACATAGATATGGTCTTGCCAAGCTTCTTAGCTTAAGAAGTTTCCTCCAGATCCAACTACCAGTTTAGTCAGATCTGATATCCCAAAAAAACCATCCCCTTAACAGTATT